AAAAAATAACCCCAATACCAATATAAAATGACTTCAAATTAGACCAAGCTGCCGATAGATCATTGTTTTTTAATAACAACATGAGATACAGAGATAAATAAAAATGCAACTCTCTCCTTCGTCCTCCCTTTTTAAACCAATCGATTACATACCTGAACCGCAGTCATAGGAATAAAAAGGACATATTCAAATTTTTGCGGCAAGAATGTCTTCAGTAACTCAGCTTCTTTTCTCTGTAATTAAAATGAACAACTACTTAATTAATAAGAATGCGACAGAAGACAATTTAATAATACATAATACTTATCATGTCTTAAAGGGAATTGATAATATAAATGCAATAAAGAACGGACTGCAAAATACTCCTTCCCAGTCCAATATCTTGATTTTGTATACTTAAATAATCGTTTATATAGACAGACAGACGAAAATGGCAATATGGGCTAAGTTGTTGATACTGGCCCTAAATAATTTATGTGGTTAGATATGTATTTTTATGCGTTTCACGCCAAGGTATAATAAACATATGCAGATCATCTTAGAATACATATTTCTTATTTTTGCACCCTGTGCAATACTATCAAAATAATTCTAAGTAAACTTTGGAATTATGTTTGTACCTGTACGAATTTAGACAGCTTTTTGTGTAAGACATACGATCTTTGCTTCATAACTGTAATATCCTTTTTACTTGAATCCTTATGTTGTCCATTCTTAATTGGATTAGCATATAAATTGGCGAATTCTTTTTCAGTTCCGAGGTATAAAGGTTTTATAAAGTTAACCATACTGTAATCTGTAATAAGATTAATGTAAGTATTACATTAGTTACAAGTATTATCACAAGCTGTACCTACATTCTTTGAGATTATTTTGAATTGGAGTACCGGTTAGAATAATTCGCTTTGGTGTGATAATTTTTGCAACAGCCAGACTTATAGCTGACTTGCTATTTTTTATGATATGGCCTTCATCGCAAACGACAAGATCTGCACCTGAAATGATTGGTTTAACTTTTTTCTTGGGTTGATTTACATTTTATTTACCTGGTTGTAGTAAATATTTATTTACTTTTTCTCGAATATTTTCTAATTTCGCCGAACTTAAATTTCCTCGGTTTTTATAAGAGTGGTAAAACACAAGAGTCCGGAAAGCCTCGTAGCCCACCAACAAGCATCCTGCTCTGTTGACGGATGACAGCGACCAATCTTCCAACACTCGTAACTTATCTAAAATGTCACTAAAGATAATAAGTTTATTACCAAATATACCCTGTTTGCATATATTTGTCAATGCTTATAAAAATCTACATATATAAAACTGTTTTGAAAGGCTTGGGCCCGTTATGACAAAATGCATTTTGCATAGGTAAGATTATTTAAAATTTTTAGAATTTTCATTATCTTTTTTTTTGATTAATTGCCGCTTATGTAAAGCGAATCGCCATGCAGCTAACAGCCATACCAAGATTTTGATTAAAATGGGTTAGAACAATAATATCTACTGCAAAAAATGTCGCCATTATCGGAATCGATCGATTATTTGCGAGCACTTTAAGCGCTGGTTACTTTTCTGTTTATACATCATAAAATAATATATATATATATTTTTTATATATATTAAGCTGATAACTTACGATGAATCCGGAAAAACGAATACTTTTATATGAGTGTTACTTCTAAGTGGCCCCAACCAGCGTTGCAGCTCATCGGCCCAATTCATAACCGTACTCTTAGGACAGAGAACCAGCACTTTCGACGTATTTAGTTCTTTGTATGAAATAACGGTGTGCAATAGAGCTATTAACTAATATATAAATACATTACAAATATGTTTATTTTCAAAATAATTGATTTGAAATAACTGTTCACCTGTAGAGTTTTTCCGAGGCCCATGCAATGAGCCAAAATGCAGCCCGAACCAGAGTTTTTCTTATTGTGATCAATTCCACCGTAACATGAATCATACATAAACTTTACTCCATCAATTTGATGCGGCTTCAGTTGTTTAACTATATCGTCATCAACCTTTACAAATGTTTTAGTACTTTCAATGTAGTCAAGTATTAAACCAGATTTTGTTGTATTTCCAGAATTACTAGAATTACTCTTGATTGCCTTTGAAAGCAACACATGTTTTTTTTCTAGCCTTCGTATTCTCTCAGTTTCTGATTTTTGGGCAGCTCTCGTCTCATTTGCTAACTGGTCCATACGCAGCATTGGCTTAATTAATCTCGTTTTTTCTTCCACGGGTTCAGGTTCAACGTCAGAATAATCGCTTTCTGAACTAAGAACGATTTCTTCATTTTGATTACGCTTTTCAGCTTCAGCCATTAATTTCTCTAAAGATTTCTTAGATCTATTTTTGTTAATAAAGTTATCATTCCATAGTTCATCGCTAACTTCAAAACTATCGGACTCTTTCTTTTCAGATTCAAGTTTGTGTTCTTTTGTTTCATTAATTCCATCATCCTTCACCATATCCTCTTGTTCGCATTTAAAAACTTGCAGAAATTTGTCTACTACATCTCCCTTATTATCATCTTCCGTAGAAGATTCCTTGGAAAGATTGTAGTCACTTTGATCTGAAAGTCCAGAGTCACTGTTCGATTCATTTAGTAGTTGCAGTTTAATTTGCTCATTAAATCGAGAAAGATACTGATTCTCCGTTATAACTTCATCGTCACTCTAAAAATAAATATAGTTAGTATTTGATACTTGTATGAATTGTATAATCATATTTGATCTGTGTTCTACTTTAACTACATACAAACTCACTTCTTTGAAACTATTATCAGTGTCATACATTGCCAAATCATCATCAAAATCATTGGGCGTATTTGAACTTTTGATACTTAGCGATTTGGGATTGCTTTTATCAATGGATTTGACTCCTTTGGTGTGTCCATGACGTTTCTTGAGACCATTTAAATTGGTGAGCCTGTCAAATAAGATATAATTCAAGATTATTAACAAATAATTTTAATTTTATAAAATTTAAATGATGTATAAGCCTATATTATACATATATGTATAAGCCTATATTATGCCTATAATTTGTATTTATACCCTTGACCCCGACCGACCATTACATATAGCTGCCAAAGGAATGATCGAGCACAAATAAGGGTCTTGTATGAAAAACAGACCAAAAAGTAAGTAAGAGTATTTACCCTTCAGCGTGCCGAAGATAGCCCTTCTTGTCAATTAAATATTTGATTAAAATAGCAATTGGCAGTACGTTTAAATACGCTGTTTGGATACAAACCTTTCTATTTCTTTATCCGTGTTACTTTCTGATGAGCCCGAACACGTCTTATCATTGTCAACTTCTTCGCTGGACATTTGTCGGAATTTACTATTGGTAAAATCTAGGTTGATATATTTACCAAGATCAATGCCATCGCTATATTCAAATTCTCTAATTAAATTGTGAGCTTTTGAGCTTTGCAACCGATCCGGTGTCAATAAATTACTTTCACTTAGATCTTTCTTTCGATCATCAGAACTACCGCAGTCGCTATCCATGCTGGAGGAAGCAGATGTGTCTAAAAGATATCTTTTTGCATTATGATTAATTCTACGCCTTTTTCTTAGAGAGCCTTTTGAAAATGTTTGAACGCATTGATCAGTCATCTTTATGATATTGGCAACTGTCTTAAGTTTTTGAATCTTTCCATATATAAAGTCTTTGAACTCTTCTTCTGTTTTTGATGTTTGTAATTTGCATTCATCATAAAAATCTTTTGCAAAATCAGTTGTATTGCTAAGAACAGTACTGAAAGCGATTTTATTTTCGCTCATGTTTTCATAAAGGCTTTCAAAATATTCATCATTTGCCTCAACCTCCAGGGGCTCCGAGCAATTCTCTGACAAAGTTGTGTTATTACTCCGAGATACACATTCAGTAGAATTTAATTCGTTAGACTTGTTGTTTACATTTTCCAACTGAAACATCTTAATTTTCTTAATTGTACTATCAATAAAATTGGTTACATGAGTAGGAACTGTTTCAGCCGGTGTTCCATTCGAAATAATGTAACTCAATAGAATATCTTTAACACTATCTAGCTTGGGTTGGCCGACCACGACTTCTTGAGACGTATAGTTATGGTCATTCAACGCATCGGAAAATTTCGAATCATGATCAGTACATTGTTCAGCTTCTTTCTGAAGCTCCGACATTTCGCCTACATTGTTGAGGTTTGACAAATTATCCTCGCTGATTTCCAGAGCTGTGCCCACTTCAACTTGACAAATATGTTCTATTGGCAAGTCTAGGAAAGTTGTCTCTGTTATTTGTTCATCTTCGAATGTTATTTCGCTTTTAATATAGTTTTCTGGTGATATGCACGTCTTTTCTCGGTTGTCAAGCGGAACGTCTGTTCCAAAGAGGTCCATTCCCAAATTAAAATCCATTTTTAGATCTAAAATTAATGGGAATTATTAACTTTTGTCCATCTTTCAATATAAGAAATAGCAATTGATTAAAACCTTTCAGACTGATTGCCAAATAATACACACTTTTAAAAAGATAATTAAATGCTAAAATTTCCTCAAAACTTTACTAATACAAGCTATTTAATAATTAGGTAAACAACTATTGACTTTATGGGATATGCCGATAATTATTGACAATAGCTATGAGCTGTATACTCACATCGATAGTCTAGTATTTAAGTATCGTGTTGGAGTGTTGCCAATCATCGATTACCATTAAATTTGATAGACTAACAGCACGTCCGCACTGAGTGCATTCATTTTTGTATTTTGGTCCAAATGCTACAGGCCAGACGTTTCGTTCGCACATAATTTAATTGATTTATTTTTCATTATATTTATAATAATTAATTTAATAAAATACAAAGTAAACGTTTACCTATTTGGAAATGAAAGATACTGCCGAACACTAATAAAAACATCTTAGGCATCTTATCGATAGTTTTGGACACGACCGTCCAGTGCTGTATAATGGAAACGGATTATCGAAATATCGGTAAATCGAAGAGTTATCGTCAAATCTATAACATATGTACAATAAATAACAAACATTTTACCCTTGTTTCTAATATAGCAATGAAGACGTCTCCTGTGGGAAAATTATACGAAGATAAAGTTGAAAGAAAATTTAGTTCTTTGCGATTTCCGCCAAAAGGAATACCAAAACACGTTCTTACCCGTACCCTAAAAATAGTAAATGATCCACATGACGAGTTTTGGTTGAACAAAAACTCGTCATGTGCGGCACCAGTTACCTACGATGTAAGCAACGCTAAAAAGCATTCGGACGCTTACAAAAAGTTGAATTTGGCTCGCAAATGTATGTTGACACGAGACTGGCAAAACTTGGCCAAATTATTAACGTCAAACCTAGTCGGTGACAGCATAATTCAAAAAAGCGCATATCCAATTTTTTCAGAAGTAAGTACACTTGTTTATACCCAAAAACCAATTGCAAATGTGTAAATGGGTATGGGTTTGCTTGGATATTTTACAGCTTATGACTTCTTCCTATTACATTTTAACTATTAATATATTTTCAGTACGTCTCAATCTTTTTAACCATGGAGGACCCCGAACTTTTAAAAAAACTTCAACAGACAATCTCACCATCTGGATCGCAGCCTGCCAGTAAAAATACAAAACCTTAAATCCCATTACAAATGTTATTAACTTATGTATAATAAAGTATTAAGCACAGAATATTTTAAATAAAATATTTGTTTCACAGTATTTTGTGTGGTCCAGCATTTTGAGGAATTTTTTTGTACTTTTTGTTTAGCTGGTTCGTGGTCTGTGTTTAGATTAGACAATCTTATATTTCTTACATTTATCTATATATACAAGTAAGAGGCTCTAGTTAGGAGTTCATGACCATGGGATACCCTGAACCCTCTTCTACCAACACCAAATGTAGCTCGCACTAACCATAACTCCCACCTCCACAACTCTGTCAAATCTCATCAGAATTGTACGAGGTTTGGATCTTCGTTCATGGTTTAGCCTCTAGATCAATATGGCATTTCAATCTGGCAACAATTATTTTTGGTCAAAATTCATGTTAAGGTGGTATTCTCAAATCTTTTATATAGACATAGGTTAACATTTTCCACCTCCACAACTCTGTCAAATCTCATCAGAATTGCACAAGGTTTAGATCTTAATTCATGGTTTTGCCTCTAGATCAATTTGGCATATAAATCTGCCGATGATAAATGAGCCGATTCGACCAAGTGGTCAAGTGGAGCGCAGCCATCGAAAAGCTAGTCGAGCGTATTTAATGGCTCCAACAGTGTCTCCACAATTGTGCAATTAGGATAAGACGACTTACAAATTTAAGATCGTTAAGGTTATAAGAATTAACCTTTCGAAAACCGCGGTTGAAATCCCCTGGTTATAATGCACTCATTGGCATACGGTTTGGTTATTCCATGACCAAATCGGAAATAGGTTGTTAAATGGATATGAAAGCAACTACGATAACATCGGGGACCCTTGCAGATAAGTGGATGGCCATAAAACTCACCACCACTTTTACTTGTCACATAAGAAATGCTTCCGCGTTTTCTTTTCCTCCATCTCCATTTTGTGGCGTCTGCATTTTGTATCGTGAGGGATATTTAGCTGTTCAGCAAGCCTGCCTATTGGATAATGTCTCGTTATTTGGCTGATATCCCCCTTCTTCCTATTGTTGGCCATTAAACTTCAATTAATTAGATAAGTAGAGTAATATGAACCTCTTGACAATAAGGAGAATACGAGTTAATAAAAAGAATAAATATATAGAAACTTAGATTTATTTGTTAAGAACGCATATTAATATTGTTTTGAATAAAATACTTGATTAAATATTATGTTTCCTTGATTTAGTTATAAACATGTACGTGATGGTTTTAAAGATTATTAATAATGAAGAGCACAGTTTCTTGTCTGTTCGCGCCTATTGCCCGAAATAAAAAAAGTATAAGTAATATGGTGAAAATCAAATTGAAGAACTATAATTCATTAATATATATCTTCTTCCATAGAAAAATCAGATGTTTCTCCAGCATAGAGGGAGCTAAAAATAAACAAAGAATGTAGTAAACATTTATAAAGTTCAGATTTTATCATACTTGACAGCGCGGCTGGTGAAGAAAACAATGCGTTTTAGCTTTTTGTTGTAGAAAAAATAGTTGAATGACCATAAGCAACCAGGTTCTCCAAAAGGATCAGAGCTTAAGTCCGGATTATAGCTGTATATATCGCATTCCGATAGGGTTACCTCATCGTCCACGGCTGACCACAATGGCTGACGCAAAACTTGGTATTGATCCCCAGCTAGGGCTGATAGATTAGAATGAACGGAGTTCATAACCCAAGGCAAAGAAGGCTCTTTGCTAAACTCATGCGACTATAAAAATAAAGTCTGTTAAGATGGATACGCCTTTTTAAAATTCGTTCAGACCTACCTTGGCATCTGAAAAATCATAATCCGGTTCAAATGAGGCATTCAAAGTTGCAATCAAGTAAAATAAAGTTTTGCGAGAGATCGTGTCACATAAGATTACGCCTTCATCGCCGGATTGACTGTTATTGCGATGAAAGTTTGGTGAAAGATCTGACAGAGTTTGAGGAGGAGATAACGCTTGCAAGTCATGACCGTGGGTCTCAGCTGTAAATCGTTTGTATAACACCTTCTCAGCAGCAACCATTTTGCTAAGTAGAAAAAAATATAAAAAGGTTTGATTAAAAATATTGTTTACATGTACAATTTGCGTTATTTTATCATGAAGTCTTTACTTAAAATTAGTAAAAAAAAAAACAAGTAAAAGTTCGCATTCAAACATTTGAAAAAAGATCAACGAAAATCCGCTGACTCAGTTGGCATCGGACTTAAAAAATGATTGCAAGAAGAGAGTGAGCCAGGTGACAGCTCGTAAAGTAAATGCATAAATACTCCTCGCAAATAACTAGAAAAAAGTCATTACTGTCTGCAGTAAATATCCAGAGACGGCTTCTTTTTTCTACTGCTAATATCAACATGCCCGTGGAGTACTGGGAATCATGACAAACTGCAAAGTTTGGAGAAAGTCCAATATATGGCGCGAGTTTTACCTGGACATCCTTAAGAATGAAATATCAAGGAGCGCAATTAAGTTTGGTTTCATAGACCCCCAATAAACAGAAGTACACGCTTTACCGGGACAGCGAACCCAAACACAAATCGTTTCTGTGCAGGACTTGGCTGCTGTACAATTGCAACAAAGTCATTGCCCAGAGTCCTGACTTAATCCTAATTGAAAATTTGTGAGCTTTCTTAAGGAAGCGAGTGCGGAAACGGAGCCCAACTAACAAAAACGCTCTCATCAAGGCCATTCAAGAAGAGTGGATAAAAACACCTGAAATGTATGACCTGCATAACCTTATTCAGTGTATGGCTTGGCGTCTGCGGGCTGCAATGGACGCTAATAGCCAACATACCAAATATTAGAACTACCATAGCTATAGTTTCCTAGATATAGTTATATATTCAATAATAGTTTGTGTGATGTTTTTCATATTGAAAACAATTACTTGACATGATAAAAAAAAAACTTAATGGTTTATCAAACCTTTATCAAACCTGTCATTTCTCATTTTTACTTTGATCCTTATATAATAATAATAATTAATATCGGACTACTAGGTCGAATAATGTGTTTTTATAAGGCCAAATATTCTATTTTGCAATATATCTTAGCCAAATTCAGCAATTGCCAATTTTTAATATTCGGCGGGCAATGGATTCAGGTTATTAATTGCTAAATTATAATTGGTAAGCTGATTGAAAATTTCATACCAGGAGTAGCTTTCGATTCGTCCGAATATCGTGATCCCACCAGTTTGTATAGAGAGCGCGTTGTTGATGGCCTCGAAGCGAGAGCTCTCCAGCAGCTTCATGTTGGGTTTCCAGCAGTGAGCAAAACAGTCGCCGTCAAAAAGATCTCAAGGGGTGATATCAGGCGAGGGGACTGCCGAACTTAGCGAACTTTAAAAACGCTTTGTAAAACGATCAGTAACTAATCCTAGTCAGCCAAATTTAAGATGTATGTTCAGATAAGCTCCTTTAGGCGCTGTGCGGTCTTATTGAGGCTTTCGGCGTCGTGATGTTTATCGTTTGATTTGCTCTTGATGCATGCATTGCCCAGAAAGTAATCGTATAAAGTTTACAATTTCTGAACATGGTATCCGGATGGACTGCAATTCTTTTCTTTACTGCCACTTTTTTCTCGACTTTGTAAATATGGTGGAGTCTGCACTGTTTCATTAACATTACACAATTAAATTTCAGTTCAATTATATTTTTTATCTCTGGCACTGCTCTGTGCCGCAGATTACGTTATATATATTCTTTGTTTAGTATTTTGAATTTTATTTAAAAAGATTTTATTGTTGTGTAACCTTGTATCTTGATTTATTTACTCACACATACATATGAATTATGTTTAATTGTGTGGATTCATACGCTTTTTTTCATAAGAATATGCACTTCTGTATGTACTGAACCGTCTGTGTATAATACAAAGGTATTATATGTTTTTATATGTGTTTAACGACCTTCGTATTGAGGATTACGCAGATATAAATATGGCGTCAATAATACAGAGAACGACGTTAATTTCTCTGTTTTCTCAAGTTATCTGTTATTTTAACACTTTAACTCATAAATGTTCAGAATCCATTAAACGCAACATATTTGAATATTCCATTTGATATTTAAGGGTAAAGATCATTAATTCGCACACGGATATTTCTTAAAACTTTTTGTGGATTTCCGTATTAGCATCGCAACATGCACACAACATATTCATACATATGATGATGGTTTTTGTACTTGGTATAAGCACTTAAGGATGACACTATTGAAAACTATCGGATACTATTTTTTCTTAAAATGTATGTTATTATTGAACCCATTCACACTGAGTACAAATTCGGGGAACGAATGGAATTTAAAAGAGATGTGAAACTTCTGTTCCAATTCGCAACATCTAAGCCCTTAAGAATGGCAGTTATTCAAACTGTTTTGGAAAAGCTGTGAATTTTAAAACTAAATTGGCAACAGATATAAAAAAAATAGCCGACAGGCCATTCTGTTAAAAAAAAAATAACCAAGAGCCTTTGCGCTAGCTGATTCGAATTATCCAAATATTATAATTCCAACTTACTATCGTGACTCCTCGGTAGCGCAATATCCAAATATTTCTGTGTAAGGTTATCCAATTTGGATCTGTTGGCAGTCGTTCCTACTGATTGATACATCTTGTCTGCCATTTATATAGAAGTGGGAAAAAAGTTCGATCCCAGGGACCACACAATCGATTCCGGCTGCTCTCCGTGGAAGGTTACTAGGTCCCTTAAGCGACAGCCACTACATCCTGGATAAGCGACTTACCGCACATGGCTGCACAAACAGTTTCCAACTGCAGGAACATGATGTCTCGCCTAAACTGGACCTCTCTCTAAGCTTCGTCCCATCTGAATTTACAAAACTAAAGACTTGAACCCAGCAAATGAAACATATGCTTTTTTAAAAATGCAACTTACATGCCTTTCCCTATCAAATAGGTAAAGCGCATATTTTTTACTCAAACTTGAGGACGCTTCTGGATTTTTTTAGAAGGTACCTCTTGGTCGAGCCTTTTTACGATCCCTTTGGTATTGCTTTGGCAAGATTAGATTGCTGAGCATAAGAGGTGCGAGGTGGAGTG